CCTAATTGGCTGGGGGCGGGCGGAGCAGCAGGGCCTCCGCAGGCCAGATCCACCTGCTTGGCCCTTTTGCCCACCCCTGCACTAGAGTCAACTAAATAATAATAGACTACTTTGGCTGGAGATACGATGTCACATGGTCCTTCCAGCTGAGAGACTTCTGGTCCAGATGCTTGTGCCACAGTACAGGGACATTTAGTATCTAAGCTATTGCCTCATTTCTTCATGTGCCTTGTGGGATTGCAGTGAAATTGGATCAGATCTCACAAAGCACCATAATCTTAGTAGAGGAACAGTGCTGATGACCAGTGTCCCGCTAACATTTTCTACCCTTGGGTGGGTTGCATTTTCTTTTGGGCAGGCTGACATTTCTTATTGGTGTAACACCAATATTGAGGTAGTATGTGGATGTGCACCACTAATACAAATGTGGAAAAATATATTAAGACAAGACATCTGTGTCTAGTTGCTGTGAGGTACCCTTAGTGACTACAAAGGTAGGGAATTAGCCTTCTTCCGCTTGAGGAAGAATAGAAGCCCCAGAACAAATGGCTTCAGGGTTTGTAGATAGATGCATGTTTCAAAGAGCTTGCAAATAAGGTTTAATTCTACAAAACTATAATTACACCTAGTATTTGCTACTTCTGACTCATAAGAGCCAGAACTCTACCACATAACACAGAACCGGCCTTAAAGCAATAGAATTTACCAAGTATTAATTAGTAACGCAGGATTTTAAAAAATCATTAAGTTCAGTTTTAGATATCTGCAACACTCCAAAAAAATTCTGTGACAAGTATCTTCTTCTTTCTTATCTTAGGCCAGTAATACCTATGTAAACTTTGTTTGAAATGTAATCATGCAAATATCCTCCTAGACATCTCCCCAGTGCAGCCTGCTTTCCCCTCCTTCCTCCACCCCAGCCTAACAGACAGGACTGCAGCGAGTCAGGACACCCCAAACAAACTGCCTCCACCTCACTGCACCCATGCCAGCACCCACCAACCCCATGCAGTCAGCCCCTTACCTCCCCTTTCCCAGCCCAGGAGGGTTGAAGAGACTGCAGGGTTTCTGCCTCAGTCTCTCTCCAAACCTCCCTCCCCTCTGACTTTCTCCCAAGCCAATTAATTAATTACTCCCTCCCCCCAGCCTTATCTCAGCTGCTTTTCTGCTCTGGGAGCTCTTCAGCAGCGTTTAGCTGCTGTTTACAGCTGACTGGTGGGGAGGGCATCTGAACTCCCTGCCTTCACGGGAGGGTAGCTTTGAACCTCTGAACAGGGCTCAGAAAATACTGTGTGGGCGCGTAGCCATGCATCTTAGAGGGAACTTTGGGGTGACTATAAGGTTTGGTGTAAGGCTCCTTGCCTGCACTAGACTGGGTCAAGCAAGTAGAATATAGTCGCCATCTGAGACAGAATGACTGTGTCAAAGATGGAAAGCAAAAAAGGGGGAAAAAATGGCAAGTGGTTTTCTATCATCTTTGTTCTACTTGTAACGGAAGCTTCAGAGATGGGACCCACGCAGGAACCATCTGAGGCCTCTCCAGTGCCACATCCTTATTGTCTGTAACGCCAATGAATATGGCCAAAGGAGGAGTTGTTTTCTGGTCACACTAGCACCCTCAAAGTTTCAGAAGTCACCCACAAGACTTATGGGAAGGAGGGGCAGCAACTATGCAAGTATGTGGCGAAGAGCACAAAGAACAGTTACAGGAGGAGTCTCCTGATGGAATTTGTGCAATGATCAAAACCAGCTGGCCTGTAAAATCCCCTCTATGGCCAGGGATTCACCCTTTAGACAGGCAAAGTTCTAGATTGTTCATTGATAGTCCAATTGACACTCACAAACAGCTCAACAGGCAAGTAACAGACACGTTCCAGAAGAGGGGTGCTCTTAAGTCCCCAGCTCAGTGCCTAGGAAAGCTCTTAAATTCCAGTTGCTGCACATTAACGTCCAGAAAAAGAGAAAGCATTCACTGATGCAAACTGGCAACTTTCAATTCCTGAAAGTATTTCAGACATCATGATTCAGTCTTGTTTATAAAGCCCATACTCACTTTTTCCCTTGCGCCCTGTCACCTCTTTGCCCCTCCCCCCCGAAGCAGAAGCAGGGTCAAGGCTCCTGGAGGTGGGGATAAGGGGGAGGAGACTAAGGACACGGCTGGGAGCAGGGGCGGGACCTTGACCAGGCATGGGGCTGGCAGCCATGGCCAGCAGCTGGGGCTGGGCCCAGAAGCAGAGCTGGGTGGTGCTCTCTTCTTGCCCCTAGGGGGCTAGCTCAGACCTCAGCTGCCCCTGCATGAACATTCCTCTGTGCCTCCCTTGGGGGTGAGCCTTGCACTTTGGGACTATTCTGCAAGCAGCATTCTGTTCGAATATCCTTTGCAAATGGGTCTAGGGTGGAATTCCCCAGTCCAATCCCAGACTTTGTCTAGAGATAAAACAATGTGACTGTAACAGACCTTGGTAACAATATACTGGTCAATGAAGTCGTTGATAGTCATGAGTGTCTGAGACCATTCCTCATCAGTGTAGCGGGAACCCACTTCCACAGGGACTGTGCGGCAGCCGGCAATTTGGCGGAGATAATCCACACTGGAAGAAAGCAGGTTCCATTATTTTCAATCTTAGCTTTAATGTTTTCATTATTTTTCTTAGTTTTGATGTCAGATGGGAAATCCATTTTCTGAGGGGGTTTTGTGAACAAAGAACTTTAGTATCACAGAGCAGCTGCTTTTTTCCTTTGAATCTGAAGCATTTCAGTCGGGCACATACCTGATGACATGTAAACATTTCCCAAAACACCCCTTTTCAAGATAGAGTATCCCTAAGAGGAGAGGTGAAAGCTGCATTGCTTGGAACATTGTTGTTCGTTATTTTCTATTTACACAGCACCTGAAGTCTAGTAAGCAATTTACAAGACTAATATACGGAGAAGGCCTCGGCTCTCAAAACCAGCCAACCAGAGACACCAAGGATGCAGGCAGCAAAGGAATAAGAAGTGAGGTTTGTAAACATCTTAATGCCACAATTTTTCTTCAATTAAAAAAAAAACCCTTTGTTTCCTATTTGAACACATCTTTGAGGAGAGAACACCAGTTAAAAGAGTACAGAGTGAATAACGAACCATAATTTATTCAGTGGAAGTAGCTTCTGTTTATGCTTGTGGAATATCAGCAAGCAGACAAAGGTTTCCTCAAATTCATTTGAGAGTTGTGTTTATTTTTTTCTATAATCATGCTTTGGCAACAAATGTTCACTATATGCCATCTGAAATTTTAGGTGCATTGCTCAGTTGAATGTTCAAGTAAGTCACAAGCTCAACCTGGAAGCATTTCCAGTGTTAATATTTATGCTTGTGAAAGAACGATTTCATTTCCAATAATTCTTGTACATGAAACTTTGAAATTCACTTTCACCAAGTATTTTTCGCTAAATCTTGATCATGTGAATGTTTACAGAAAGAAAAGATGTGGCTGAAGCAAGTTCAAATGAATAATCCTGAGAATCTTTGGCAGTATATGTCCAGCTTTGATGTACAGCACCAGAAAATGCACCAAAGAGGGTTTCCCTGTATAGGCCCCCAAAAAGACAGAGTGAACGACAGACCAGGTCTTTCCAACATCTAATTACCATTATTCTGTCATTAGCAAAGCAAAATCTATTTGGATGTAAGTTTCTAAGCTGGAGCTGTTACACCCAAGTACTGTTAGCAAAATATAATTATTCCAGAAGTAGAGCAAATTATTCAGCAAGATAATGTTCCTAGCAGGAATCATGGGAGCTGGCATTTCGTAATTTACAGAGGCATACGTTATCCTCAGCTTGAGTTAACTGGTGCAGGAAACAGGCTCATTTAATCAGGCCAAAGGATAAAGCTGTTTTTAAGCTCTTGCCCTCACCTCCATTTCTTCATACATGACCAGTGGTCAACAATTCCCTCCAGGACAACAGGCTTTTGTGGAGTCATGTGATTGTCTCTGAAATGCTCTAGAGAAGGGCAGTGAAGCAGTGGGATTATTTCTTCTGATTTTATCACTGGAACAGCAGGCTGGTCATTCCGGATTTTCTGTAACAGGGATTTAACAACACAACAAAGTAATCTGCTTGCTATGGCAGCAGAAAACATGTATGTTAAAAACAGCATTAGTCTCTCCCAGCTGAAATCACTGGAACTGAAGATGTAACAAACAAAGAAAGCTACAGTTGAGCTGAATGGGGATAAAATCCTCAGAACACCTCCAAAGCACAAAAACTTCCCAAAATACCCAGGAGTGGAAAGTAAACTCCTTTTATAGCCTAAGCACCTATGGCTGGAGGAGCCAGAAATTTAGCTTCTCTCAGGGCAGAAGGGCCCATAAGTATGGAGAAATGGTCTGAGGTAATAGGATGAAATTCAATAAGGATAAATGCAAAGTACTTCCCTTAGTCCTAGTCTAGACTACCGTATTTTCCGGTGTATAAAACGACTTTTGATGTTAAAAAACATCCCCCAAAAATCGGGGGTCGTCTTATACGCCGGGTATACAGGCGGCGGGGCAGCCCAGGCGCGCTGGGGCTGTCCCGCTGCCGGGGCGTCCTCAGAGGCTTTGCTCCCGGTGTCCCTAGTCTGCTGGAGACGGTCCCCAGCAGACCAAAGGCACCGGGAGCAAAGCCGAAGCAGCGGCGGGGTGCCGCGCTTCTGAGGCTTTGCTCTGGCAAAGCCTCAGAGGCGCGGGACCCCGCCGCTGCTGCGGGGTTAGTCCTGGTGCCTGTGGTCTGCTGGGGACGGCTTTTCTCTGGCAAAGCCTCAGAGGCGCGGGACCCCTCCAGCAGACCAGGGACACCGGGAGCAAAGCCGGGGAGGCGGAGGGGTGCTGGGGTATAAGACGAAAACCTATCTTTTAACTAAAAAATTAGGGGGTCGTCTTATACGCCCAGTCGCCTTATACGCCGGAAAATACGGTAACTCCCGCTGTCGATCTAATCTAGCTGAAGTCGACATACCCCCAGTTAGTTATGTGCGGTAAGGTCAACAGGGGCTACTAGGCATGTCCTGGAGGAATACCAGTGTCCAGGGGAGAGTGCTTGGGAAATTGATTTATTGCACCTAACGACATAATTTGATGGTCAGTGGATCAATTGCTGCACTGGCATAATGGAGATAAACCCTTAAGAAAAGCCAATCAGTTTCACAAATACAGAATGGGAAGTGACTGTCTAGGAAGGAGCTTCAGGGGATAGCTGAGTTAGTGTGTTACAGAAAAAAAACAACAAATGGTCTAGTAGCATTTTATAGACTAATAAAACCTGTATCTAGGGGTAATAGCGGACCATGAGCTAAATATGAATCAACTACATGACACTATTACAAACAAAAGTAAACATAATTCTGGGCTGTATTAGCAGGAGTGCAGGGAGGAATACATGAGAAGTCATACTTCCGCTCTACTCTGCACTGATTAGGCCTCAAACTGGAGTATTGTGTCCAGTTCTGGGCACCACAGTTCAGGAGGGATATAGACAAATCAAAGTCCAGAGAAGAGCAACAAAAATTATTAAAGGTCTAAAAAACAAATTGAAGGAACTGGGCTTGTTTTGTCTAGGAATATGAAAGACTAGTCGACTAGTTGTTCCCCCCACCTTGCTTCCTCTATCAGAGAGAGGTGGTAGGGGGTGGAGTGGAGCAGGTGGGTCAAAGTAGCAGCCCCACATGGAGACTGGGGCCAGCCCCTGGGCTCCATGTGGTGCTGCCCCTTTGAAACACAGCATGCAGCCTGGGGTCAGCTGGGGACAAGAAGCAATGGGCTTAAACTGCAGCAAGGGAGGTTTAGGTTGGACATTAGGAAAAACTTCCTGCCTGTCAGGGTGGTTAAACACTGGAATAAATTGCCCAGGGAGGTTGTGAAATCTCCATCCCTGGAGATATTTAAGAGCAAGTCAGACAGACACTTGTCAGAGAGCATTAGATGGTGCTTGGTTCTGCCATGAGACTGGGGGCTGGACTTGATGACCTCTCAAGGTCTCTTCCAGTGCTATGGTTCTGTGATTTTCAGGCATACCAGTGAGTGTGGTGGGAAGTTGACTTCCCTTTTGTGTTGCTTGCCAAGCAAACAGTCCAAAGTGTCTCTCAGCTCCTTGCAGTCGGCAGAGATCAGTCCGCCAGCTGTCATCAATGCTACCCTCAGCACCAGGGCATGGAAGAGGAACAAGAGCAGAGAAGGAAGAGATTCAGCTGGTCACCAAAAATTTAAAAAAAAAAAAAATGTAAAATGAGCAGGAAATCCCCAAGCTGCACTGAGAGCTCATGCAGGTTGCAGCCCTTACTGCACAGGTGGGAACCTTTTTTTGGTCAGTGGGTCATACACCAGTGAGAAGCAGAAAAAAACAAAACAAAAACACCTCACAGACCTGACTCCCAACTAGGGATGTTAAAGTGCATTTATGTTAGTAAATGTGTAACCGCTGAACTTTACAGCAGTTCCTCATTTACATGTGGGGGAGGCAGGCAGGACCCAGTGCTCATGTGAGCACCAGTTCTTAGCTATACCTCCCCTTCCCGTCCCCCCGCACTGCTTCCTCTAATTCAGATGGTGCTTGGTGGGGAGGCAGGCATCTCCTCAGGAACCGGTGCTTGCTGCTCCCTCCATCCCCATCCTGCCGCCTCTATGGGAGGTGTGCCATCGGGTTATTACAGCTTCAGCCCAATCCTCTATACCTTCTGCATCTACAATGATAACTGATGTTGAAAATGGTGACCCTGAGGCACTGCAACATCCTGAAGTGTCTTTCAAATCATTAAAGGGTGCATTCTCTTCAGTTTTAGTGTTAAATGTATTTTCAGTGATCTGGGTGCACCATGCGCTGTCCACAGTGATATGCAGGGCTCGACAAATCCATGTATCTACTTGCCCATGGTGAGTAGATTTCAGCCGGTCACCCCATTCACTGGCAGTGTGCACATGTGCGGTGCGGGGTTGCTGAGTGGATTTCGCTACGGTTTGTCGAGCCCTGGTGATATGCAATGCCCAAAGAGAACCTGCTGTATAGAAAACTTCATCAGTATACACCTAAGTGCTTCAAGAACCCATATCATAGATCTGTTTTCCAGATGAAGAAACCGAGGCACAGATGGTTATGCTACTTATTTATAGGGCCTGTGAGGATCAATTCCTTCATGGCTGCAAAAACTGAAATTCTTGAATGGAAGAGGCCACAAAAGTGTGACAGAGACCTCCTATTAATTGGGAAACCAGGGGATAAGAGACAAGTAAAAAGTAGATCTCAAAATAGGACAGAATAGCTACTTTTAGATCTACAAATAAACAGAGAAAACAGGATGAGAAATTCCATGTTAACAAAAGAGAAGGGCTGCAGAAAAGTATCTTCTGCCTTTGGAAAGCTCATCTCATTTGTGCTGCCTGAAATGTCCACTTCTACCCAAGAAAGAGAGGCCCAATTACGTGATTTACCTCTCAAGATGAGTGGCTCCTTAACCCAGCCTGAAATTTGGGGTGCAATAGTTTGCTAGGATCACTAGTTCCTATTCTCTCTGTAGAGAGCACAGTGGTGGACAAGAACATTGATCACCTTTCTGCGTGACTCCTGTGTGTCCTCTTCAGCAGACCTTTTCCCAAGTGTCAGATGCTTCTGTAGAACATTAATGACCTTAACCAGGATGTTATCCAGGATGGACGCTCCCATCAGCAGTCCCATGTCACAGACCCGAATTGTATCTGCAGTGGCATCTTGCTCATTGCACATACACAGCACTTTGAAAAGGCAGCCATAAGAATACACGCGTCGCCAGTCCTTGTCCACGTCTCTCCAAGTCCCAATATTAAGTTTTTCCCAAGTGTAATCTAGTATGATCTCACTGACTCGAAAGCAGGTTTCCCTTGTGCTTCCAGAGCAGAGACCTCCAGCTCCATAGAGGAGATCTCTAGCTTGCTGGAGCAATGAGATGACACTTTCCTCCACTCTCTCGCTGAAGTCCAACTTCAGGTCTTCCTTCGTGTTGGGCAGCAAGGCCCTGATGTCTGCCCACACGGCATTCTCTGCAGGGCCTTCATTTGCAGTGGGGCTGGCGCTCGTGGCTAGGCCACCAGGAGAGCTGGGTTGGGACATGAATCCCCCTAGGGCTGACCACTGCTTTTGGCCAGCTGGGATTAGAGGCTGGTTCCTTTGCCCTGCAGCTCCTATAAGCAAACACAAGTGTTACCAGAGCCAAAGGGGCCCAGAGTGGAACGCAGTCAGTGTCACACTGAGAATGTCCCAGCCCCATGCACCTCCTTGCCCCAAAAGCACCCCTCCTGGCCCCCTGCCTCCCTCCCGCCCGCCTGGCCCCCTGCCTTCCCCTCGCCA